CTTTCCCTTTTTCTCTGTTTATTTCAGACACATGCCCTATAGCAAACAAACCAAAAAATCAGCCAATGTTTTGGGTGCTCCATCTGGAAGACACCATAAGAATGAACTTATTTACTTCAGTCTTCCTGACATGATGCCTTAGATGAAACCCTGTGGAATACAATGAAGGAGTAAGCTGAACTTATTTATTATGTGAAATTTTCTTTGGCTCTCCTTTGCCCTAAAACTATGACATAATTACAGCCATGCTTATATACATCCCTACTAGATGTTGATCTAACCTCTGCCTGAAAACTTCCAGTGACAGGAGAATGCCCATCATCTATCACTGTCCTAAGTCAATGTATATATTATACATTATAATATATAATACATTATATATTATATATAATACATTACATATATATTATAGCTTCCTTTAGTTTTTTTAAGTTTTATGTACTTTGAAGATAATCGAGGCGATCTAGATAAAGGGTGAGATAAAGTGATGAAATCATTAAACGATAATTCTGTGTGGGCATGGTAGTTAGGACATGCCAGGAAACTGTGAGTAAGAAAAGTTACTGTACTTGAGCAGAGGAGGTGATCCTGAGATTCTCTGCAGCAATGGCAAAAAGAGCAACCCAAGGGATTCCCTAACTCTTCTAACGTAACGTCAGGAAGCAGACCATATTTTCATGGGAGGTGAATGGATGTGCTCCTAACTCTGCAATCTGGAAGGAATTATCAGAAGGCTTTTTGTATAATGCACATTTAAAAGGCCATAATGGACAGTGGCTCTTTGCCAGATGCTTTACCAGAAATCTGAAGACATTTCTTGTAACAATCCTTAATAAAAAAACTGGACTCTAGGTTTTTATCTTTTATTTAAAAAAATGGTACTTAAATGCATCAATAAGTCAATTTTCAGTTGTGCTGTCCCAAATGCAATAGAGGAGCACATTTATGTAGGTGCTTTCAAATAAGTGGATCTAATTGTTCTCTATCCCCAGGGAAACAGCGGATATCAGTAAAAGCTGTCCTAGTAAGTTCTACTGAAAGAGTGAGGAGATGCATGTGAACAAGTCTTTTTGCCTCACCACCCTGAACCTCCTGTGGTTCCAGTGACTTTCTTTGCAGACCACTGTGAGGTAAAATTTGAGGGTCATGACTTAACTGCAGCTCTGGATACAATGGTAGATTGGGGGCCCTGCAGAACCCTGCAGGGCTGCTCAGATACCAAATGCCAGGGGTTGAGACAAAAGAGGTAAAAGATTTGTACTATTGTCTCTAAAAATCTCTTCCTCCTCTTTTTGGCTCTTGCCTTTTACAGAGAAGATGACTGGTGCTCTTTATCACATGGAGCCCGTATTATTACTTTTTCCTAGAAGTTAATGAATGGTATCTAAGTTGATCTCAATAGGAATCTGTCAAGAGATAGGATTACATACAAAGTTTACAGTAGACTCATTTGTATATTACAACATAAGTTATCCCAAGATTTATTTATTTAAATTCCAGAGGGCATATGCGAGACAGAAAAGGAGAAAGTAGGAGAGAATCCCCCAGGGGAGATTCCTCGTGGCTCCTGAGAACTGGTGATTTCAGGAGAAAAAGAGAAATGAAGATTTCTTGCTGGTAATTCAGCCTCCAGCCCACAAACTTGAGTGGTAGGGAGCTCTTCTAGCCTTCTCTCTATCTTTGTCTCTGTGTCTCTATATCTGCCTCTGTCTGCTTCTGTCTTTCGTTTTTTCATAATTTTTCCTTTTTAAAATTTTTTAAGGTAAAATATTCTCTTGCTTTCAGCCCTGCCTTTGTCTTGTTAACAATCCCCTCTCCCCCTCCCACCCGGGCAGGAGAGGCAAAAGGCAGGCCTTCAGAAGAAGATTCCTCATGGCTCCTGAGAACTAGTGATTTTTTTTGTGGCGCGCTTGCACACAGCACAGTTCTCTATTTTGTGCTTTTAAAAAAATTTTTTTAGTTGTTTTTATTTTTTTTACTTTTTCCCCTCTGTTTCTTTGTTGTTGTTGTTGTTGTTGTTCCTCTCTCTCTGTTTTCTTTTCTTTTTCTTTTATCTCATTTCTCCACTTCTCAATCTCCATTTACTGTGCCTCTAGACAGAGCTAAGGGAACTATAGCCAAATATCCAAACACTAGTATTTCTATTTCTATTCCATGAAATCCTGCAAGAAAACTTTCTAAACCTAGAGAGGCACTCAGAGATCCAGTCCTAAGAAATACAAAGGACCCCAATTAGAATCAACTCAAGATCTTCTCCAAGACACATTATAGTCAAATTGACCAAAACCACAGACAAAGACAAGATACTAAGATTGGCAAGAGAAAAACATCAAGTTACCTACAAAAAATATCCCATCAGGACAATAGTAGACCTGTCATCAGAAACAATGTGAGTGAGGAAAGAATGGGAAAATATATTCAAAGTGTTAAGGGAAAAGCAATTTCAACCAAGAATACTGTACCTGGCAAGACTATCCTTCATGTGGGAAGAAAAGATAAGAACATTCTCAGATAAACAAAACCTGAAAGAATTTACCAGCACCAGACCAGATCTCCAAGAAGTTCTCAAGGGAGTGCTATATCAGGAAAATTAAATACAGACACACAGAAATAAGAGTTCAAAAATTAAAAATATGGCCAACTTAATCGTAAGGACAAGTCTGGATTTGAATATTATATCCCAGAATTTAATCAGGAAAATCAAACCACAACAGAAGATAAAGTACATGAGTCAGAACTGGCGAAATAGAATTTTATGACTTTTGACTAAAACATTGCTGAATTTCTTCTAGGCCTTGTTGTCTAGTTTTAAGCATTTGTGTCTTGTCTTGAGATGTCAATAGGTTCATGTACCTACCATTTGAACAGAATCCTAACCTGTTTCCTGGCTTTAAGTTTTTGCTATAGGGTATGTACGCTCTCCAGAAAGACAGAGAGAGACAGAGAGACAGAATGCAGGAAATCACCCCCCAGGGGGGATGGCCACACTGCAATCCCTTCTCCTCCTTTCTCCTCTTGGGATCTTGGGAACGCACGCACACGCACCCGGCATGGTTTAAGTCACTGGATCCAGGACTTGAACCACGGTCAACTACATGGGAGTCCAATGACATAGCCATTATGCTAATTGCTGCTCCTTCAAAAAAATTTAATAAAAAAAATATACTGATAGAGGGAAACAAACAAACAAACAAAAGCAATCCCCCAGGGACAGCTGGTGGTGTGATGGTTAAGACAGTTAGATCCCCTATAGCTGACAGCACAGTTAGAGTCCTCGGCCTGGCAATTGGAAAAATAGACTGGGCATATGTGCATGCATGTGTGCCCAAAATCCTGAGAGGAGAAATGGAGGAGAAGGGATTGCAATGTGATCCTTTCTCATGGGGGTTGCTTTCCACACCTCCCTGCCTCCATCTTTTTCTGATGAGTGCACGTATGCTCCCTCCAATCAATCAAAATTTCTTTTGAGAGGTTTTTGCTGTAGGGTGCGTGCGCTCTCCAGAAAAACAGAGACAGAGAGACAGAAAGCGAGAAATCTTCCCCCAGGGGGGATAGCCATGCCACAATCCCTTCTCTTCCTTTCTCCTCTAGAGATCTTGGGCATGCACACACACGCACCCAGCGTGGGTTTAAGCCACTGGGTCTGGGACTTGAACCGCAGTCGGCTGCATGGGAGTTCAGTGACATAGCTATTATGCTAACTGCTGGCCCCTCAAAAAAAAATTTAAAAGCAATTGGGGGAGTGGTCTTGCCACAATCCCTTTTCATCCATTCCTCCACTTTGATGAGATTTTTAAGAGAGAAGAGAGAAGAGAGAGAGAGAGAGAGAGAGAGAGAGAGAGAGAGAGAGAGAGAGAATGGGCATGTTCTTCAAACTGCAAGAACCAGGAGTCAAACTGCAGTCAGCCCTTTGGAATCTGGCTTCCTTAACCACTAGCTGATGGGTTGGTTCTGTTCATTTTTTAAAAATTCTATAACCAGGAGGCTGAATTACTAATATTCAATGAGAAATTCAATCTGCAAGGAAAGTTGTTGGGATGTGGGTACCCACATTATAAACAGAGGTTTATTAGATAATCCTGGAATTAGAATACAGGAAGGTAGATCAGCTTAATAGACTGTGTCATCAATTCAGCTATTCTTGTTTTCTATTAGCAACCTGGATGAAAATTTAAATTTGAGATCCTTAGTGATTTCTAGAATGCAGGCATTTTGTACCATAATTAAAAAGAGATCCATAGTCTTTAGCCAGCAGTTAAGATATAATTGTTTGTAAGTTCCTCCTCACTTCCTTAATGAGTGCTCTTCCATCTCCTTATAGAACTGGAAGACCAAGCAGGTCCAAGCCTTTTCTCAAAAGCAGAGCTAGCATTTACTCAAGAGCCTAGACACATAATCAGTTGAGAACTCAATAGTTTTGTATTATCATAAAATGAAATACAAACGGTTGAGTGTTAACAGCCACCAAGCAATGTCATCTGCAGAAGGAATGAAATCATATAACATATTGAGTTGAAGAGAAGCTTGTCCGAGTCATACTGGTCCAAGGACAAAATGAGGAGGAGTGGCACAGCTGACAGTGGGATGCAGGCGAAAGACAGCAGCATTCATTCATTCATTTGTCTGCTCACTTGTCCATATGCACACACATAGTGAGTGTTTTCTATCCACCTGGGATGTCTAGACACTGGACTTTTAAATCAGACATAAACTCCTTTACTATGAGAAAACTTGTGAAAGTTCTGAGACTGATGTAAAGGGGTGTGGAACAGTAGATTGGATCAAAATGATGGAGCAACTTGAATGCTAGACTTTCATACAAGGGGTTAGCCTTGATTTGTAGGCAATGGAGCGGGAGGAGAACCAATTTTAAATCATGGGGGCTGGACATGGTGCACTGGCAAAACACCATGCTCTTGGACGCTGACCCACTTGAGAAGATTCTGGGTTTGCATTCAGAGATCTCTCTGACTACATAGAATATGTCTGTCCCCATAAGCCTATTGAGAGGGCTATCTCTCATGCTCATTTGATAGAAATAAATAAACAATCAAACAATTTTAAGTAAGGGAATGGCATACGTAGAAATGTGGAAGGGCCTACTGGGTTGTTGGGAAAGTCATGATGCATTTTTGCATAGAAAAACAGAAAAATATGTCATGATTTTTCTGACAACTCAGTATTTTGGAGAAGAGAACAGAGCTACTCAAGGGTGAGGAGAGCTGTTGCAGTTGTCTAAGCAAAAGTATTTATGGTCAAAAAGTAGAAGTAGGAATGAAATTACAAATAGAGAAGAGGTTGAATGGGAAAAAATACCTTGGGACATACTTATTATTGAGGACAGCAAAAGACAAACCAGAGGAGAGCTTGGGGAGGAATCAGAGGTAGATAGAAGTCAAAAGAGGAGGAAGTTTCCTGAATGCTAATCAGTTAAGTGCTTCTGTGTAATGAAGAAATACAAGAATCGAGAAACAGCTATTTAAATTAGATGCAAGGAGATCTCTGATGACTTTCAAGTTGATAGGCGATGTGATGAGTGGAAAATGATAATTGGAGACAGCAAATATTTTGTATTCTTCTGAAAACTGGAAGAAGAGCAACTAAGAAAATACCAGATATATCCATTAGGAACATCATAAATATTTACTAGTTGCAAGTGACGGAAAAAAAAAATTACATAGCTGGAGAAGTTATGGGGCTAGATGACGCTTCAGACACAGAGTTAGGGTTCAATCAGGGCTATTTGGGTCTCAGTCTTGACTCTCCTTCGTTCTGTATGGTGACTTCATTTTCAAGTTCTATATGCTGACAAGCTAGCTATAGTAGTTTCAGCTCCATATCATTCCAAATTCAAATCCAGTATTATCCAAAGAGAAGACTTGTACTTAGCTGATTAAGCAAAACCCTGGAATTAGTTCTAGTTCGGCTTGGACTGTCTTGACTAGTGTCAAGGGCCCATTCCTGATGGTTTAGGCAGGGAGATGGAGCCCAAAGGAGGCTTGTGGACTAAGAATGGGAAAGGATATGAGTCCTTGGAGTAAAATCAGAATACTGCTAGAGAATGGAGGATGGATGATGGGTGACAAAAGCAAGTATCAACTCCAAGTTTGAAAGAAGGTAACTGATGGATTGAGGCCCAGAGCAGAAAGGTGGGAATACAGTCAAAGCACATACATGGAGCTGATTTCTAAAGGAAGACATATCCTCATGTCTGAGATGAGAGAGAAGAGATAAAATAAAATAAAATAAAAATGAAAGATGATACACAGGCAATGTGAACCTGGATGGGGCCAGCTGAGGGTATGTATGTTAAATTGCTTTAATTTTCAAGTTAAAAACCTTCAGTGCTATTATTTTTGGAAAATATGTTGAATCTATTATACAAGTTACAGTATAGCAAATACATAGAAACAAGTAGAAACTGAAATTCCACAGATAGCATACCAAATTCTTTCATTCATCACTTTATAGACTAATCTTTACAAAGCTTAAGCACACATTTTTTTTTACCTCACATCCATTGTTCATAATATGTTAAATTGCACACTATTATTTCATAGAGTAGGTGTATCATGATCATGTAGCCACTCTATTAAAAACAAAAGGACATTTAGATTTCTTCCATTTTTAAAAATTAGAAATGCTATGATGATGATATACTTAGTTGTTTATTTTTCCAAGCTATTTCTTTTTTAAAATGTTATGTATTTTACATTTTGAAAAATGTATTTATTTACTTCTTCCAAGAGAAGAAGAAAGAGACGCAGAGGCAGTATTCCCAACAGGGTTTGAGACCATAATCCAGCCTGACTCCAGTCAGTCTTAATCACAGGCATACGTATTGAATTTGCCTAGCAAACACAGGGAGGTCCCCAGAACCTTCCCATGTGGTTCGGCCTTGCAGAGCAGGTGTTTACTGCTGTGCCACCATCTGGCCCCTCCCTGATTATTGCTATAACAAAACTTCCCATGAATGGGACGATTATGTGAAAGGAAATGAGTAGTTTGTGCCTCTCCAGTGTGTTACAAAATCTCCTTTTGGGAACCAGCAGTTAGTGTAATGACTATGTCACTGGACTCCCACATAGTCGACCGTGGTTTGCGTCCTGGACCCGGTGGCTTAAACTCATGCCAGGCGCGAGTGCGTGCGTGCCCAAGATCCTGAGAGGAGAACAGAGGAGAAGGGATTGCGGCGTGACCATCCCCCCTGAGGGGTGATTTCTCGCTTTCTGTCTCTATGTCTCTCTCTGTCTGTCTGGTGAGCGCACGCGCCCTATAGCAAAGAACCTCTCCAAGAAAAGGAGAAAAAAAATTAAAAAAAAATCCCTCCTTTTAAAAGATAAGTTCAATTGTTAATGCTTAACCATATATGAAAATACTGGATTTTAGACTTTATTCATTAATGCTTTCATATAATTAATATAATATGCTGAGCACTTAATGACTGCCTGAATTTCTTCATGTAAATTCATTTAATTCTCACAATAACCCTATGAGGGAATAAAGGCTTCTTATTATCCATGTTTTTACAGATAGGGAAACTAAGATACAAAGAGGTTAAGTAAACTTTTCAAGACCTTACAGCTAGGAAGTGGTAGAACTGGTATTTGAACCATGAGAGTTTGAATCCAGAATATGCAAACTCAATCCATAGGCATATTGTCTTGTGATAGTTTTATTTTTTTTTAAGTTTATTTATTTTATTCATATTAGAGAGTGGAGATAAGGGGAAGAGTGAGAGGGCGAGAGAGAGAGAGAGAAAAGCACACCCAACGGGGTCTGGTCATGCCTTGATCTTCTTCCCCTAGCCTTCCAGCTCACCATAATCTTGGACATGAGCCCAGCATGTTTCAGGTGAGGTCAGCCAGGGCTAGAGGTCACAGTTGGCCATGTGGCTTCCAGTACCCTGCTTACTGGACCCCAGAGGCTGGGCTATGTTTGTGATAGTTTTTGACTGACATTTGCCCAAGTGTTCTTAACAACTCATATACATTCTATGATAATTTCATCATTTCTTTCTCTGTAATATTCTTTTTTGATGATTCTGGCTCAAAGATAGGATATTATTGAGATAATTCTTATAGATTTGGATACCTCAGATGAATGAGAAGATTTATAATGTCATACATGTTTTTACCTCTTGCCAGTATGTAAAGTTTGGTAACTAAGAATTACATTGCTAAGTATTTCACATAAATGCAGTTGTTTCATCCATCCAGGGTACCCCAGGCTTTCTGGGGACTCTGATGGTTCTATGATCTGATTTAACCCTGTGTGTTACCTTGGGAACATACCTTCTGGACTTGCTTGAACATCTGAAATGTTGGGATTGCTTTGATGTGACAAACTTCAGCCAATTCCTGGGAAGGAAAGAAATGGCATGAAGTTGGTGTCCACTCTGTACCAAGCATATGAACTTGTTGACTTCTCAGGAGATGTGTCTTAAGAGCCAGGGACATTTTTTCTCTTTAATTGTCAGAGGGTATGTGTGCTCATTAGAGACGGGGAGGGAGAGAAAGAGCAAGCAAGAGAGAGAGGGCGCAATGGGATATGATCATGCCATTTTCCTCCATCCCTCCTGTATGTCAGGATTGCTTCTCAAGTCAGGGTGGCCAGGACTGAGACCTTGGTTAGCCATGTGGGATCTAGCCCCTCAATGCATTACACTTAACCACTGTACTCTGGAACCAGCCCTAAACTCAGGGTCATTTGACATTCTACATTCAAAGCCTGAAAGTCACAATAGAAAATGACTATTCCAGCATTCCTACGCTTTTTCATATCAGATGTTCACACTGGAGACATGGGATAGTATACTAGCCTAGTGCTTTTGTTTGTTTTCTAGAAGTACATGTGCTCACCAGAGAGGCAGAGAGAGAAAGAACAGGAGAGAGAGGGAAGGAAGACAAGAAAGCATCTCCCATGGGTAAGAGAAAGAACAGGAAAGGGGAAAAGAAAACAAGAAAGCACCTCCTGTGGGTCATGGTCAAGCTGCAATTCTTTTTCTTCCATTTTCCCCTTCTTTCAGGATTTCGGATATGCACATGCACCTGGTATGCTTTTCTTTCTTCTTTTTTTTTTTTGTAAGAGAGATTTTTGCTACAGGGTTGGTGCACTCTCCAGAGAGACAGCAAGAGATAGAAAGCAAGAAATCAGCCACCAGAGCAGATGGCCACACCATAGTCCCTTCTCCTCCGTTCTCTCAGGATTTTGGGCACACATATACATGTGCCCAGTGTGAGTTTTCAGCCTCTAGGTCTGGAATTTGAACTGCGATTGACTATGAGAGAGTTCAGCAACCTGACCAATACACCATCTGCTGGTCCCACACCCAGCGTGTTTTGTAAGTCCAGGTCTGGGGCTTGAACTGTGTAGTTGGCCATGTGCGATCCAGTCATCTTAACCACGATGTCATAGATTGACTCATGGTCTAGTATTTTAAGTAAGGTTTATATGTTTCTTGCTTTTAAGTCCTACACTCTCTTCACTGCCTTTCTTTGTGAAAGGTTTAGAACTAAAAGATGAGAAGATATGCCAGAATCCGAATTGTTTAAAATATTCCAGACTGCTTCAAATGGTAGCTTTTGTTTATCTTGTTTAGGAGTCAAAAGAAAACTAGCCACTCACATGATCAACAGAACTGGACATTTTTCTCATACACCTTACTTTATTAATATTAGATCTTTCCTCCCTCACCACCTATCTCACACACACACACACACCCACCCCACATTTCTAATTTCCATGACTGCAGCAATAGGACTAATAAACATGAGAAAACTGTGCATTTTTTTCACCTAAAAGACAAAGTACTGTACCTACACAATAACTCATGTTGGCAAGGCTGTGTAGAAATCAGAACTACTGTGTATTTCTGGTGGAAATGTAAAGTGGTGCAGCTGCTTTGGAAAATCATTCGCTAGTTTCTCAGAAAGTTAAACATGGGGTTACCATATGACCAAACAATTCTAGTCCTAGATAAGAGAAATGAAAACTTCTGTTTGCAGAGAAACTTGTACACTAAAGATTATGCCAGCATTATTCACAATAGCTAAAACTACATCAATAGATGAATAGATAAATGAAAGGTGGTATATTTATAAAATATAATTATATTGAGTAATAAAAAGGAATCCCATATTGAATACATTCTATAGCATGGCTAGACCTTGGAAACTTAGGCTGAATATAAGAAGTCAGTTACTAAACATCATTAGTTCTATAATTCTATGTTCTATCCTATTCTATTTATATGAAGTGTTCAAAATAAGCAAATCTACAGACTGGAGGTAGATTCGTGGTTGCCTAGGGTTAGGGTGGAGGATGGAGAGAACTGGGTGTGACTGCTAAAGGGTAAAGTGTTTCTCCTTGGAATGAAGATTGATTATAGTGATGGTTGTACAATTATGTGAATATAAAAAAGACAAAGAGATAATGATCATAGCTGTGTGTTCTGAATTCATAGGATTCATTCTAAAGTGCAATTAAACAGTTCAGTGAAGCTTCAGGGAAATGGAGAAATGGAATTTCCACTATGCTCTGGGCACCATGTTATGCTTTTTTTTTTTTTTAAGAATCATTTACTTAATTTTATTTATTATTATTATTATTATCATCATTATTATTATTTTAATTTGCTATAGGGCATGCACACTCACCAGAGAGAAAGAGAGAGAAAGCAAGCCTCCAGGTCTGTGACTTGAACTGCAGTTGGCCACATGGTAGTCCAATGCCTTAACCACCATGTCACCTGCTGGCCCCCATGTCATACCTTTTATGTCATACCCTGTTTCATAGATGAGTAAACTGAAATTTATAGAGGTTAAGTGATAATAGGCTACAAAGCTATTAAAAGGTAGAACAGTGAATAACAGATTTTTTTTTTATTTCAAGCTCAAATTCAATCTAATGTATGAACAGAGTCACTTGGTATTTGTGTGCATATTATAACTGAACTAATTTTAGGAAGTATAGTTTTATAGAGATATTATACATATTAATAAGATATATTTTGAGGTTATGAGACTGATTATTTGGGGGAGACAGGGTAGAAAAAGATGACTCCAGAAGCATGAGGGAGGGATTTCCTGACATTTTTTGTGAGGCAAAATTTTTTTTCCGTAAAAACACCTACAGAAAGTATATGAGACAGCAAGAGGAAAGCAAAGACTATTTAAATATTGTAGCACATTGAGTTAGGTTTTATTTATTTTTATTTATTTGCTTTTTAATCTTGCCAGAGAGCACATGCATTTGCTAGAGAGAAACAGAGACACACAGAGAGAATGAGACAGAGAGAGAGAGGGGGGGGGAAGAGAGAGAGATAGGGAGAAAATACCCCCAAATGGAGTATGGTCACATTGCAATCCCTTCTCTTGCATTTCTCCATTTTGTTGGGATTTGGGACATGCACACACACACACGACTCGTGTGATTTTCAAGCCACTGGGGCTGAGTGTTGAGCAATGTAGTGGGTAGATGGTATCTGGCTCCCTTAGCCACTAGACCACAGGAAGGCCCTGAGTTAGGTCTTAAACATTTATAATTTATCTTAGAGTGAAAGTAATTTTTCACCTTGATTCTAATTTCAGCTGATGTGGTCTGCTTAATGCAACTCGGCTATGGATTCTGGGGTAGAGTCCAGGGCAAGTGGTGAAACATGTTGACTTCGGTTAGTGAAGTCTAGTGGTTAGTGCACAACATGGGAGAGAAGGTACAGCAGGAGAGCTGTATTCTATCTGTTAATATTTATTATTATTATTTTTTAAAATAATACAATATATATAAGTGCATTGGGGCCAGCAGGTGGAGGTTAAGGTGCTGGACTTTTACATGGCTGACTGCAGCTTGAGTCTGTTCCTGGTGACTTGAAAATTATGTCAGGTGCGTGTGTGTTGTGTGTCCAAAATCCCAAGAGGAGAATGGAGGAGCAAGTATTGCACTGTGCCCCCCCCTACCCCCCCAGGGAGGTGATTTCTCACTTTCCTTTTCAGTCTCTCTCTCCCTCCTATGAGTGCGCATGCCTTATGGCAACCCCTTCAAAAATTAAGAGTTTACTCCAGCTTATTAGAAAAAAATTGTGCAATTATAATTAATTTGAAGTTGATTATTCTAAAACTGAGATAGTACTACTCAATTATATTGCGTTCGGATTTTAAGTATCAACATGTAGGGGCTAAGATTCTTACCGGAGAATCGTTCACATCCACATTGGCAAACATTACATTTTGGTATTGCAGAGACATTGCCTTCAAAATCAAAGAAATAAAAATTCCCAATTAGTTCAGTGATAATATTAAAATAAGTACTGAAAATGTCTTTTGACAGAAAACAAGAAGTGAGCAAAAATACTGTATTTTGATCAGACTAATATGAAGTATATTCATGCTGAGAAAATTCATTTTGTGGACTGTAAAGATGTACAGTAATTAAATAAGAAAATAAATGAATAAATATTAAAGAGAGAGAGAGAGAGCTAAGCATCATACTGGCGTTTCACTACTGCCTAAAACTTGAAGCACAGTGTCAGATGCCAGATGATGTCATGGTCAAGCAAGGATCCACAGCAGAACCGCAGTCAAAGAACCCAAGTGAAGAGTTTCAAGGTTGGAAAAGGACACAGAAATAATGAAATGTGTATGGTAGGTCCAGACTTGTCTTATTGGGTGGGGAGGGATAATTGCTTTTTCCCTGGAGAAGTGTCAGAGGAGTCTATCTTCAGTGGTCTTCAAGATACAGCTTTCTGAACCAATGCCCAAATGGCACCTTCTCTTCTTTCCTTGGCAGGCTTTACCAGATGTTGTGGTGCTTGCTGGTGGTGGTAGAAGGCTGTTTTGGCTGAGATGGTATTAACACATTCATGGTGACCAATAGCCTAAGTGCTTTCCACTCCCATTGCTATTCTGTGCTCTTCTATGTATTGAAACTAGATTTCCTAGATTCCTTTATCGGCTGATTTCCAGGTAGGTGCTGCCAGTGGGAAGCATTTGCAGGATATGGAAGGGAAGTAGAGAGAAGAAGGAATTCTCTGGCACTTCTGTTTGACTCTGGAACCATATTTGGCAGCAGCGGTGACAATAGTAATGGTAGTAGATCTAGGGGTTGAGGAAGCAGCAGCAGCATTTCCTGTAAATGCTAGCTTCTGGACTTTTTTTCAGGCAACTGTGTTCATAATACTTGAGGGACGCTTGAAAGCATCTTGATTTGTTTGCTTAAAGTCCTCTCTCAAGCATTTCCAGTGACCTATTATATTTCAAATGTACCTAATATTTCAAGCTTGGTCAATTGAGACAATAAAAGGCAGATCTGTTCCTGAAGGATTCTCCTATGGAGAAGCAGGAAGAAGCATGGCATGGGGTATTCAGATGGTTGTGTGCAGAGCTCTGTTATAGTAACTTCTCCCCAGTTTTGTTCATGGATTATGATAGAAGTGGCAGTTCTTTCTTCAATGTTCCATCCAGATGATAAAGTTGGAGAAAACTCTTAGATAATAGACATACACAAAGATTTTGTAGTTTTGGAATATTTTACATATTAAAATGGTGCCAGTTTTGGTTAGCACCATCTTCATGCCTGGCAGGAAAGTAGTATGACCCAAGAACTCTGGGATAGGCTAGCAAGTGGGGTAGTGGTTAAGGTGCTGGACTCCCACATGGCCAACTGTGGTTTGAGTCCCAGACCGGGTGGCTTGAAACTCATACCAGGCACATATATGTGCATGCCCAAAATCCCAAGAGGAGAATAGAAGAGAAAGGAGTGTGGCATGAACATTTCCCCAGGGGATGATTTCTCAGTTTCTGTTTCTTTCTCTCTGGTGAGAGCACGTGCCTATAGCAAAAATCTCTAGGGACCAACAGATGGTATAGTAGTTAAGGTGCTGGACTCTCACATGGCCAAACACTGTTTGAGTCCTAGACCTGGTGACTTAAAACTCACATCGGGTGTGTGTGTGTGTGTGTGTGTGTGTGTGCCCAAAATTTTAAGAGGAGAATGGAGGAGAAGAGATTACGGTGTGGCCACCCCCTCTGGGGTGGTGTGTGTGATTTCTCGCTTTCTGTCTCTGTCTCTTTTTCTTTCTCTCTCCAGCAAGTGCATGCGTCCTATGGCAAAAACCTATATTCATATATATTTTAAAAAACTACAAAACTAAAAAAGAAAAATAACTCTGGGGCAATAAATAGACACACAGCTTTCATATCTAGAGGTGAGAAGATGCTCCCCAATAGGATTCATGGGAGCGGACTTGTCCTATATGGAACCGATTCCCTAAGATCAAGTTCTATTTGTGAAGTTTTCAGAGTCTTCCAAGTCTGTTGGAATATGAATAGAGATACAACGTCTGTCCTATTTGTACCAAGTAGTAGCCAGGACACATGGTACTGATTGCTAGATTGGAATTTCTTTATGGAGATGGATTACCCTCACTATCCCCTTCCATCTACCTACAATCTCCTCCCTCACTCCCAAGCAACAGTAACTCTTCCTTCTGCTCTATTTGCCCTTATGTAACCTGTTGTCATTGGGTCACTTATGCTGTAGCTCTTAACTCTAAAATGTTACTTGAGTTTGATCTCTCCTTTTCTCTGAAAGCCACTACCATAGCTTTGAGAAAACTATGAGATTGTCATTCACCTTGGGTTATCTGCCTTAAGTCTTGCCAATCCATTCTTGTACAATTGCCAAAAATATTTCTAGAGCCCATATTTGGTTATAACAAAACTCTTCTTTAAGTTCTATTTTGACTCTCTATAGCAACTTGTTAAGTCATAACACAAGGTACTTCTTGGTTGGGCCTCAGCTTCCTTTAGGAGGCCCACTTCCTGTTACTTTCATTGTGTACATAGTAACTTAGCCTCACAGATGACTTGCCCTCCTGTGATCACATCACTCAATGTCTCAACACACTTATAACTTCTCCTTTTGTAGGAATGCTCTTTATAGAGTTCATTATCCTGTAGCCCAAGGTTAGCAAACTACATCCTGTTGACCAAATCCAACTCTCTACCTGGTCTTGTCAATAAAGTTTTATTTGTTGGAAAAAATCTTAGGCACTATAAGTTTCCAAAAAAAATTTACACTTACGATACATGAATAAATCATTTTGCAAAAACTCAAGAATTATGAAAAAAATAAAGCAAAGCATGAAATTCTCCCATTCGTAAACTTTTCCCAAATTTTACACACTTTCACAAAAAAACTTGTTTGAGATGTATTCTTCTGCTCTCCCTTTCTGTATATATTTTGCTATAGGATGTGTGTGTTCACTGGAGAGACAGAGAGACAGAAAGGGAGAAATCACCCCTGGGGGGAATGGTCAAGCTGCAATCTCTTCTCCTCCATTCTCTTCTTGAGATTTTAGGCATACATGCACACATCCCTGGTGTGAGTTTCAAGCCACTGGTCCATGACTCAAATGGTGGTTGACCATGTGGAAGTCCAGCGGCATAATTTTTATGCCATCTGCTGGTCCCAGTTTGTTTGTTTTTTTTGGGAGAGGTTTTTGCTATAGGGCGCTTGCGCTTGCCAGACAGACAGACAGAAAGCGAGAAATCACCCTCCAGGGGGGATGGCCACGCCGCAATCCCTTCTCCTCCATTCTCCTCTCGGGATCCTGGGCACGCACGCACACGTGCCCGGCGTGAGTTTTAAGCCACTGGGTCCGGGATGCGAACTGCGGTCGACTACGTGGGAGTCCAGCGACACAGCCATTACACTAACTGCTGGTCCTGGTCCCAGTTTTTTTTGTAATTCTTATTTTCCATGAACTTTCTGAAGACTATATATATATACACTAGAGTATTTTTGATTGTGAAGAGGAATCAAAAGTTAATATTTGGGGAACCAGCAGTTAGCGTAATGGCTATGTCGCTGGACTCCCATGTAGTCAATCGTGGTTTGCGTCCCGGACCTGTTGGCTTAAAACTCATGCCGGGCGCGTGTGCGTATGTGCCCAAGATCCTGAGAGGAGAATGGAGGAGAGGGATTGCGGCGTGGCCATCCCCCCTGGAGGGTGATTTCTCGCTTTCTGTCTCTCTGTCTCTCTCTGTCTGGCGAGCGCACGCGCCCTATAACAAAAATCTCTCCAAAAAAGAAAAAAAGTTAATATTTGAAGGAATATACTTCACAAAATTGACCATAAATAAATGTGACACTTTTGCAGTATGAGGAGAAATAAAAAGAAAAACGCCCCGAGATTCATTCTGCTCTGTGTTATACCAAAAATAAATAAGATCTGTGTGGCAACAGAGAAAGTACCTATATAAAACATTGTATAAGTTTTATATAGGTAATTTAATAGGTAATTTAAGTTTTAATTTGGAGACACTGTAAGAGCATGACTTTGTGCTGGCTTCATAACTCAGTGGATAAGTACTGTGCAGAGGACATATGGTTGACTAGGGTTTGAGTCCAGGCCATGGCGACTTAAAAAACATGATGCATTTATGTACATGTTCTCAGGATCCTGTTCACCCTCAGCCACCCATGGATGAACTCAATTGGGAGG